TGAAGCGTTTGGTGCAGTGTTGGACTAAGAAGCTGTATAATAACAAATTCTATTATTATATTATTTAATATATAAATTATTAATATTTTATTATGATCTAGGTGACCGGAGATGACGAGAAGTTTATCGGGAGTGGTGGTTGAGCATGACGAGGACGAGAGAGGATAGTCTTAGCTAGTCTCATGGTTATTGGGAGGGTCTCGCTAAGACCTCTTAGTGAAGGGTTTTGTCCATACTAGTCCCCTTTAGTCTCATTAATATTAGTCTCAGCATAGAACAAACACAGTATTAGACTAACAGCTAGTTCAATCCAGTCCAATCCTACTTAGTGAGGGCAAACAAACACCTTGTGTTATCGACTAATTTTATTTCATGTAGAAGATATTGAAAATTGAGTTTTTCCTTTTTCATCAGTGGTAATGTTGAAGCATTTGATAACGTTATAAATTTAGAGTATAACATTTCTGTTATCATTTTTCTCATTTTAATATTTTTATAAATGATTGATAAAAAATATTAACGTACTTTTCTAAGTGAGACCTGCAATTTAAGAGTGTTAATTCTTGACACGACATGATAACTCTATTTGAAAACATTACGAAATAAACATGTTTGGTTCGTCAAAATCTTGTCGACTTGTTTAACATGATTAATATACAACTCATGTTTTGGGACAACTCGTCCAACCAGAATGATACAGTTTGACACGTTTATGTAATTGTGCAAGATATTAGCACGTATATGATGCATATAATCCTATACCACGAGATAACCCTTTGAATTGAAGTTGAAATGATACGTTTAACCAATTTATTTTTTGATGTGCCACTTATTATTATGGTCTACTGACATTCATCTTCACTTATATGTAAGAGGTTTTAAGTGCAAATTTGGAAAATGACGAGTTCACAACCAATTTATTCTCTCACCCCAATGATTTTTTTTAATGTAAACATTATAAAAAAAAATTACACCTTCTAGTGTCGAAGACACTAAAGTTGAACGAGATACAGTTGCAATTTAAAATTTTCTCATCGAAATCGACATGCAATGGTTGGTTTAAACCATAACTATGTTTGTATGCTGATTCCTTACAGCGGTCGAAAGCATGATAATATTTTAAGTTTTTAGATCTAAACTAATATAATTTTGTAATTAATCCGCATTTAATCCTCACATATACTCAAAACAAAATTAATATGTAATAGTCTTTTAAGGGTGCGTTTAGTACGTGGGACGAGACGGAACAGAGTGGGACGGACGCGTTCTCCCACGTTTGGTGCGCTTAAATTGTGTGGAACGCCTGTCCCACGGAACGAAAATGGGTTAAATTTTGGTTCCACATACCTCCCCTGGAATGGGTTGTTCCATCCCATGGAACACAAATTTATAATTTTTTGGACAACAATACCCTTCATCTTTTTCATTAATTCCATTGTCTACCCTTCCTCTCTCTCCCGTAGCCTCCCTCTCTTCGAATTCGATCCCAACAAACCCATATGAACCCAAACCATGGCTACCGGTTCAATCCCTTCGTGCTCTACCTTCTTCTCCGGCGCCGTCACCTCCGCGCTCAACCTTCTTCTCTGGCGCCGTCACCTCCGTGCTTAACCTTCTTCTCTGGCGCCGTCACCTCCGCGCTCCACCTTCTTCTCCGACGCTCCGACGAAGCCTCTGTAAATTGAAACTTAGTCGCCATGATTTGATTTTGTACTGCATAGAAAATGGACTCTGATAATTTGTGGAGCAGTCTCTTCTCGACCTCCTCGTCGAGGCGGTACCAATCGTGATCCGGTGAGTTTTTCCAAACTGCCTCTAGCGGTGTTCATTGTTTGTTGATGATTTTCTTGATTTTTTATGGGTGGTTTTTGGTGCTGATGATTGCGGTTTGTGTCGTGCAGATCTATTTTCGCACAAAGAGACTGACGGAGACGATGAGTTAAAGGCTGAGTTTTTGTGCCCTTTCTGCGCCGAGGATTTTGATGTTGTTGGGCTTTGCTGCCACATCGATGAAGAGCATCCGGTGGAGGCTAAGAACGTGGCATTTTGTTCAATTTCACCTTTTTTAGTTTAATTTTGTAAGTTTTATAGTAAAAGTGGTTGTTTGAATACGAACTTTCGAGATTTCATTAGTTTTTCCCTAAAATAATAATTTGGGATTTTTCTGTGTCTGGTTTGAAGAGAAAGAAATTAAAAAAAAGAGAATTATGGGTTTGAATTGAAGAGAAAGAAAATGAAATGAAGAGAAAGTATGAGTTTGATTTACTAAGATTGATTTTTACTGGGATCAATCTAGGCATGCGAAGAACATGAAACGTATGGAAGAAGAGAAAGCAGAGAAACGGGAGAGAGAGGGAGAGTCAAATAAAATGGTAAGTTAGTCATTTAATCCCGTTCCGTTTTGTTCCATCTTGCTAATACCAAACATGACACGAAATCTTTGTTCTGTCCCGTCCAGTCTCGTTTCATCCCGTTCCATCCCGTCTGTGTACCAAACGGTACCTAAGCGAATCTTCAAGAGAAGGGTTCTGTTTAATCCACCGGGATTCTTCGAGAGGACCTCAAGGAAGAGACCATTTAACTCTTGACACCTCCCAAGTGCTAAGAAAGTATGGTTTAACCCAAGGGTTTAGGGGCCCTTGTTTGGGCCTTTGTCACTCATTTAACCCAAAGTGGTTTAACTAACATGTCCTACATAGGCCCAATTTAAACTTGGTTTATTTTCTAAACTTTTATAGTCTCATTTGAATAATAAATTTAATTAATTAATTTATTCAAATCTTAGTAATTTACTTTTTTTTGTATCACTAGAACATATTTCTTTTAGCTTTCGTATTGGGTATACGATCATTTAGTTTCTAATTGACAAGGTAATGAGATTAATTCGACTCTTTGTTTATTTTAACGAATTTAAAACTTATTTTAGTTTACCTTAAATGATAATGATAAGTTATCATTTCAGAATATCTCATTGACTACGAGCAACGTCTAGCCGCATATTGTCGCCCCCAAACCAATTTAGGACAACTGTAATAAAACCAATTCAACAGGAACTACAATGCAATTCAATAATTTTCGAATAACCAATACTCTTACTCTCTTTTTTTATTTTTTTATTTTATAAATCTTACTATTAATAGGGAGAAGAGGAAAAGTTCAAAACTATTACTATAATTTTAGGGATCAGGGACTTCGGGATCCAAGACACATGGGTAAAAACCCAACACCCTACCCACATTGGGATATTGGACGACATGCAACCAATACTCTTAATCTCATCAACAGCGTAATAAAACCCCAAATGTGGTTATCCATTTACATTAATGATCCAAACCTAAGTCTTTCAATACTTGTTATCGAAAATTACTTAAAATTCCTGCTGAAGGATTTTTAAAACATTGTGAGTATTCGACTTACTCGGAGGTGTAATGCAGAATCACAAAATCACAGACCTATCCGCATGACAAACAATGATAACTTAGGTTTAAGGATAAATTTGCATTATTACAACTAGAGAGTTACTTGCTTGACATGTTGATAAAACTCTATGCAAGAACTCGATTGATTATGTGCAGTATCTAACCATGTACTTACATACTTATCTTAGTGTCAGAACACAAATGACAAAAGAATCACCATTATCTGTTTGAGAGGATGCCATTTCCAATTAGGAAATGGTATTGAGTAAAATAAAATAAATAAATTGTTGTATCAAGCCAGTCAACTAGGATCCTATCTCGCAAGAGTTATGAGCTCTCACAATTAGGCAGTAAGTCAATATCTATTTTTATCTTCAACTTTAATAAAAGCGCTACTATATCCATCCACCTATCGAGAAATAACAAGAAGAAAAAGAATTTACAAATAGATTACTCTGCTCCACTCGCTGAATTTTATGTTCCGAGCAGAGAGTATAATTGCCTTATCGAGCACCAGAAATAATTGCCTTATCCTAGCTGCTCCCATCGTACTTCAGTCAGTGGGGGATGAAGATGATGAATCACAATACAGGGGTCAATTATTCTAGCATTGCAGCAGATATTAGTCCTCACCTTTCATGATAATTTCCCAGTGGACTTAGAAATTCAGCATCAATCATGCAGATACTAATCCTTCTTTTGGAAAAAGCAGCTCTCCACATAAGCTTTTTTTTTTTTTTTTTTCTTTATGGGAGGAAGTGCAAACATTTACATTTACATTTACATGACAGAGAGAGAAAGACACCCAACAGATGTAAATGTGTGACAAATATTCCTTTCCCACAACCTTTATGAGTACCAGATCGGGATATTTGTATATAAAAAGCAAAGGTAAACTCCCTTATTGGCACTTTAATACTCTTTAGTTTAGCTGGAAAAGAAAGGTAGTCTGCATGGAGAACAGCACAATGGGTGTATTTGATGTAGCAAAAGCGAGTTTAGGTGTTTACAGTTTAGGGTTTAGTCTCTAATATAATAATGGCAGCATCTTATACGCGTGTAAAATGTAACAACCACATGTGCTTCCACGTCACTCATTATAAATTAAACATGTCTTACATATCCTTGGGAAATTCTAGACATGAAATGTCGTGTGTTAGAGAATATTTCATGTGAGAAGATCTAAAATCTTTGCACTTATTGTCAATTTATTTTAAATTGGACACTCGTATTCTAACACATATTCATGCTACAAGAAATTGGTCCTTTTATCGTGTGTAGTCTATGGTGTGTAAATTATCCTTCTTGTTAATAATATTTTTAGCACAAATTTCTTGTGCGTCTTAAATTCAGTTTAAGGCACGCGATGTGACCAAAAAAAAAAAAAAAAAAAAAAAAAACCAATTTTGATGTAGTGATTACTCCATCGGCACTCATCTATGGTTACAAAATAGTCTTCATAACTTCTTGTTTTGTGTACCAAAGAACAAAAACCAACCTTGTGTCGTTAGAGACAAATGAGAAAACATCCATGGTTGAAACAAAAGAAGAACATGTTACGTGCTTAGCCTTGGGGCTGCCATAAGTGATTTCTTCACACCATTGAGAAAAAATCTAGAAAAAGAAAATATTCCAAATAGCTTTCCAGCCCTCCAAAATATTCTCGGCAGGGAATTTGTGCTCTACTTTTCTCCAAAGTGCTTCTCCTTCCAGTATAAACACCAAGCAACCCTCTAACCTCTCTCCACCATACACTCAAAAGTGATCTCTCTAGCTCCTCCAATCTTCTCCAATGACTACTACTACTACTAGTAGGAAGCAGCTTGAAGTCGTAAGAGACGATCAAACTCCGCAGAAATGGTGTGTTTTATTGAGGGAAGATGTGTTCAGAAGATTCATGGCTCAAGGCAGCACAAATCCAACAGTGCAGAAGGTCTTTGGTGGTGCATCTTTTTTCAGTCCTTTGCTGTTTGGGAAATTTTTTGATCCTTCTGATGCCTTCCCACTGTGGGAGTTTGAGTCGGATATCTTGCTGTCTGGTCTCAGAAGCTCTGGCCAAACCTGTACTGATTGGTTTCAAACAGATCAAGACTATGTCCTAAAAGTAGAACTACCAGGTAAAATTTTCAACTACTTATAAAATATTTATTTTTCAGAAATTAGACTTCTTAATTTCCTAATTATGATTTAGATTTAATGCACTAAGAAGACTGCATCTGCAAGTATTGGGATTACTCCTTAATTCATGAATAAACCTTTTAAGACAAAGGGAGAAGACTTTATTTTCAAAGAGGTTGCTTATCTCTACTAATTAAAAAAACACTCATTGTTAACCAAAATCCTATGAAATTACCAGTTTAACCCTCTAATTAAAACAGAACGTGAATAAGAAATATGAGGCAGAAATGTAATTTCACACAACTAAATTTTGCTGTTTTTTTAAGTCTCACCTACATATAATCTTAATATATCTCTAATTATAAAAAATAAAAAATAATAAAAATAAAAAGTTCCCACTCCCACAATCTCTATCACTCTCTTCCTCTCTCCTTCTATTTCAAAAACAAAAATAAAAAATTTTCTCACACACTTTGTGTATGCCCATATGCTAGTGAGTTTTAAGGATTAATGTGGGGTTTTTGGTTTCTAAAAGGGGGAGGGGGTTTGGTACATTGTATGGGATCAAACGCATAAAATCTTAGACCTATTATCAATATACGTGCATTAAGTCAGTTGATTAAGGCACATTACTCATCTCTTTGCACTCAAGTATAAATCTCCTACTCGATGAATTATAATCAGTTTAAAATATCATCAAGGGGGAGAGAACGAAACGTGCAATTGCAAAAGGCCCCCAAAATTTTTTGTCATCTAATATTTATATGTAAATGCTATATTTTAAAAAAAAATTACTTTTATTAGCACTTTAAAATCTCGTTATGCACTCCTTATAACAGTAATTTTTTTTTCTTTCTAAAACAACACCCTAAAAAAAGATTTTTTTTTTCCAATTTTATTTTATAATAATGTTGTATATTCAAGTGAAACTTCAAAGTTATAGTTTTTTAAGCCTGTTCTTGTTTGGTTGTTTAAGGTTGAACTACTTATGATTATTTAGTGAATGTTATGTTTCTAGCTCTTTTTACTTATTAATTAATGACATTTATAAACTTACAATCAGTGAGTTCTAAAACTTATGTTGATTTAAGCTATTGTTTTCTAGTATAAATACATTATCCTACTTTTTTTTGGAAACCTAATCTTAAGACGGGGCCTTTTATAAATTTCGCATATGACTTTGCAATCTCAGAGACAACCCTGAATATCATGTCAAAATGAAAAAACCCTAATTAGTTATATTTCCCCTTTCACAGCCTAACTTACTAGGCCAATAGCCTTATCAGACTCATTACGGTTATATAAATGGGAAAGGGATCCTCTCCGGATCCCTTCCTCCTAATCCACCAAGTCCGGGGATCCAAGCTATTGAAATTTGATTCAACAGCTACAAGGGCCTACTTTAAAAGTTATAATAACTTTAGCCGTTAAATCAAATTTCAACAGCTCGGATCCCCGAACTTGATGGATTAGGAGGAAGGGATCTGAAGATGATCCCTTTCCATATAAATGAAGAGTGAGGGACAAGGCCTAGAGTCCAAAAAGGTTTTAACTATAAACTAAATTCACGAGAGCAGTGAAACGAAAACTTTGATCCACATAACTTGTAGCTAAAATGATTAAGCGTATTTTACCCTAGATCCGATGTTTTGGATTCATTTCTCAAATGCGAAATCACTGGTATAATGGTTTGGTGAAACAGAGGAAGGGAAAAATAATGTTCAAGTGTCTGCTGAAAATGGAAAAGTGGTGGAAATAAGTGGGCAGTGGAAGCAGCAGCAAAGAGGAGAGTCCAACTCCTTGAAGAGCACGAAGGATTGGAGAAGTGGGAATTGGTGGGAACATGGTTATGTTCGGAGGCTTGAGCTCCCACAAGATGCTGATTCCAGAAGGATAGAGGCTTCTCTCGCTAATGACCTACTTTTGAACTCAAAGTTCACAAGATCAACAAACCCTTGGATTCTAATGCCAATGCAAAAGATAAAGATCCAATGTGAGTTTTAAAACCTAAACATAATATTGGTGACTTGTTAAATTTTGACATGCCTATAATATAGATACGTGTGATATGATGATGTAAACAGAACTTTTTTCTACATCTATCGTAGATAATAATTTACAAAAAACAAGTTTACCGCTATCTTAATGTCTCGGTCTAATAATACAGTAATATTTATATGTTTTTCTTCATGTAATATAAAATTATTATATCGGAATGTCACGTGGCAGTGAAGAGTGAACCCCGCAACTCTCATAAGCGTAATTAGTTAGGTTATAATTATTAAAAAAGCAGAAATAACAGCCGATGGGGATGTAGCTCAGATGGTAGAGCGCTCGCTTAGCATGCGAGAGGTACGGGGATCGATACCCCGCATCTCCACTGTATTTGCCTTTTTTCATGTTTATTGAGACGGCTATGAGCTTGTTGTCGTATGAATTAGCTCACAAATACTAAACGACGCTAAGGTTAGCGAGTCACAGACGGGAGTTTCAGTTAGACGACAATAAATTAGCATGCAAAGGTATGTGATTCTAATTGGTTTTTATTTTTTATTTTTTTTTTATGAAAATCCTATTTTCTTTCTTTGTACCAAAAAAAATGTGAGGTTGTTTCCTTCCTGTTTTAGCCTGAAGAAAAAGGAACAAGATACTATATGATGTTGATCAAATCGACAAAATTTTTGCTTAATTCAAATATACATTTGATAGGATTTTTATCACATGCAAAAGTAGGAATAAAAACACTTAAAAATACTTGTAAGTTGTAAGAGTACAAAGTTATCATAGTATAACAGCTCAAGCAATGTCGTTCTCTATATGGATTGATTGAATAATTTGTATTTAAACTAATTATTTCAAACAAAGTTTGGAAAAGATTGATTTTGAATTTTAAAATAACAAAAGCGAATTTTAATAAAAACAATTAAAGAAACCAATTTGAAAGAAAACAATTTTAGAACATAATGATAAAAGGACAGGCTCCGTCGTCACCTTAACAATCCTATGTAGTTTTATCAATTACTTATAGATTACACATGCAACTTTGAAGGTTAGGTTTTCTTTATGCATATTCTACTTATGACATTCAAGCTAGAACGTATATCAAGCATGCAATCCGTCTGTGACATTCAAATCAAATATAAACATGCGTGACTTATTATACTTTGTGAAAACCCTTGAAAAATCATGTAACCCTCAAGAAGTGGCATTCGCCTTGGTGAACTTACAATTATTAACCACAAGAAGCATTCCTCAATTTCAAGGTGACATGCCAACAGAAATTGCATCCGATTACTTATCTAAACATCCTAATGGTCACGAATCATTAAGACACAAAGACAGTTTAAACACAGTAATTAATAATTCAAAGCATGCATGCATAATATCATAAGCAATTAAATAAAGACTACATATTTATGCTAAGGCTCAAGGCATCGCCCTAACAAACGGAAATTAGTTACGAACAATCATAAAATAAAATATTATTAAAAACAAGAATAGAAAACACCTTATAGGTAAAAACTCTGAAAATCTCCAAAATAGTACGACCTCTCCTAATAGCTAAATAGCCTTATTTCAACTGCTACAAAATAAAACTCTACCTAGAAAACGTCTTAGAATACAACTAGGAAACATAATAAAATAATAAACTAGCAAATAAAAGGTTTCTATTTGAACTGAAATTCGGACTTCTAAAAAAATTAGACTTTTGACTGACCAAATCAACTTCGATTTGATCCCAAAAATGACTCTTTTTAAAGCTTGAGACATCCCTAACAAATCCTCATAAGGAATCTTCTTCAACATATGCCATCTTGATCTTCAAAATACTCAAAACGTCCAAAAACGTTAATCTGGGAAAGCTGCACGCTCGGCCTTTATTTCATTGCCACGGTCAAACGGTTTGATAGAAAAATCTGAAATTTTGAAACAATCATCTTGAAACACTCACATACATCCTCCAATTGAAACCACTAAAAAATTCATCCGTTTGGTCACGTTTTGCTCCAGAGGAAGTTGAATATCCTACATTGAAAATACAAAAAACAAAGTATCAAAGTTCTACCAAAATAACTAATAAATTAATACTAAGATTAGGGTAAAATACATAGTATATTATCGACTCATAACGTAACGTAAGAGTATGTGACTGTTAAACCGAACACATGTTCAACGTTCAACTTTTATTATGCAATGTGTATTAACTACATTGCAGAAGATGGAATTGATGCAGAGGAAGAGGAAGAAGTAGAGAGAAACAAGAGAGAATCTAGAGAGAAAGTGAGTTTAGAGAGAGAAATATGCTTTTGTATTGATTGATTAAAAATGAAGATTACACATACTGTTTATAAAGAAATCCTAACTACTTTAACCAAATACTAACTACCTAACTATATTACTAACTGTATTACATTTGTTCCCTTAATACTCCCCCTCAATCTCAACTGGGGTAACCCAGTTTGAGATTGGAAGACCAACTGCAATCTGTCCTGCAACCTGTCCTGCCTTTGGCCCCTTACCAAAAGCACCATTTAGCCACGTTGCTACATACCTACTTATTTGGACAACAAACCCTGTATCATTCAATTTTCTCTATTGAAAATATTGCTGCCATTGTTTAATATCAACAGACTTCACTTTCTCATTAACCACGAAAATGCCTACTGTCAATTTCTCTGTAAGCCCTACTTTCTTGTAAAAGGAAATGGCCTTCTCTAATGCACTTGCTATCAACCGATGCTTTTCATCAAATGCTTGAACCTTGTTCACGACATCTTGTCCAATAGCCGAACCCTTTGCAAACATAAGTGATTGTCCACACCAAATATGATACTCTGTTTCCCAAATATATTCACTGCCTCACCACAACATAATTGTACAATCCCCTGCAAACCAAGCCTTTCAACAGTTACAACTCTAATGAACTAATCTTTTCAGAAAACATGGCCTTGTGCCCACAAACTTCAATCAACTAATCTATACAGAAAATGGCTTCATGCCAAAAAAAAAATCAATCTTGAAATGGCTTCGTGCCCAAACAACTAACTATCTTGAAATGGCTTCGTGCCCAAAGAAACAAACTTGAAATGGCTTCGTGCCGCAAACAAAGAATAATGGCTTCGTGCCTCAAAGAAATCAATCAACTACTTCACAAAATCAATGAATCATACACTTTTGCAGGGCATTGGCAGCTCCACCACCGAACAGAACATGGATCAAATAACACCAGAGAAGCACAGAGAGCTGATATGCAAACAACACCAAGAATTCCTCACTGAGACAATCAAACAAACAGTTGGAGTGCATAGAGAAAGATGAAACCTGAATCTTCAGTTCTTGATCCAAAAACGCCCAGAGAAACACCAGAAATCATCGACCATTACATCTAACACAACAGATGTAGTACCACTTAGGACCGAGACCTATCTTGCTCTTGAAACCCGGCAAGAACAAAATTTCGTATGAAATAACACTTGTACCTGAGCATTTGCTGTTCTGTTGAGAGCCCATGTGATGGATTCTGATCGAATGAAGCCTTCAGACGAACAAATGACGAGGGAAGATGCATCATTTTCCTACAATCCGATACCTGAGCCCATCATACTATCTTCTTCAGCTTCAGGACGTGAGACTAGTCCAATTGATGATAAATCGCTGCCTTTTGGATATGTAGACAATAGTAAAGCCAAGAAATCAACAAAAGCACTCTTTGACATTTCGTCAAACAGATAACAACAAAAGCACTCTTTGACATTTTGTCAAACAGATAATGTGCAATCAAGATTGCAGAAAGATGCCATTGGCCTTGTGTTCAAAGTCTGCAGATCCCTCACATAATAATTCTGAGCAAAACCCATCAATTTCAATCCTCAACGGCAACAAATTCTGAAAATCCAGAAAAATCTCACCATTGAATTCTCTCGCTAACAAAGATCACAGCAGCCATTGCTTCCGGCGAAAGGATCAGATCAGAGTCAACCTATCGTAGCCATGTATGGATTGCAGAGAGCATAAGGTTTTGAACGGCATAACCACCCAGAGACGGCGCTCGGCGGTGGTAAGGTCGGCGACATTCCATCTGCTTTCCTTGCCGTCACCGACCAAAACCCACAAAGAGTGATTACTGCCTGTGTTTGGCTATTCATGCCCCGCGAAAGGAATTGTTGAGATTTGGTAGATAACAATGAAGTTTCAGTTTGTAACGACAATATACCTCGAAAATATACTTCTGACGCATTAAAACAAACAGGTGATGTGCATTTCAGAAACCAGAAAAAGAACAAGCTTGATGATAGATAGTCGAAATCATTACCCAAATCATAGAGAAGCACCATAAATCTTCAACAATGTCAGCGGAAGAACAAAAACTCACTGCAGCAATTCTTCAAACACCACCGATGCATAAAAGTTCAAGAATGACCTGATAAACAGCAACCATGAATCGAAACTCCAATCTTGAATCAACCAACGCAGATGAAGAAACCCAGATCGAGAAACCCAAAAGAATATGCAGTCTTTATGCTTCAACGAATGAAGAAAAACGGCACCAAGGATGTGCGTTGCATATCAGAATCTGAGGGTGTTGCAGGAAGAGTTCTTCAAGAAGCGACACAAAGATATCGAATCGGAGAGTTTGAAGGAGAGCGACCATGACTGCGGAGGTTCTCTCGCAGCTCAACGACGTCATCGCGAACGGCGAACAGAACGGAGCACCGAAGATCAACCCAACAATCGCAATCACGATCCCAACAATCGCAGAAAAATCAACCCAAGAATCTAATGGAAATTTGAAGAGAAACTAAACTAGGAAGAAAAAGAAAATGTAAACTACTACGAAGAAAAACCACCATAATCCATGGCGTGAGCCTGGTGGCTATACCATATTAACTACATTGCAGAAGATGGAATTGATACAGAGGAAGAGGAAGAAGTAGAGAGAAACAAGAGAGAATCTAGAGAGAAAGTGAGTTTAGAGAGAGAATATGCTTTTGTATTGATTGATTAAAAATGAAGATTACACATACTGTTTATAAAGAAATCCTAACTACTTTAACCAAATACTAACTACCTAACTATATTACTAACTGTATTACATTTGTTCCCTTAATAATGTGAGAGTACAAGATTGTTAGGTCTCACACATGAATAACCGTCAACTTTAATTAAGTACCGTCGTAGTTGTTAGGTCTAACAAGTAGATAAATATCAACTAATT